TTTACCAGTTTTGGCTCAAACAACAAAACATTTAAAGGATCCACACCTTTCATGTTTGTCTGCATAGCATCAGTAACCTGGTTTTACATTAAAATAGTCATTAAGAAGGGCCTGACATGTGGTGTGGTGGTTAAGGTGCTGGACTCCCATATGGCTGACCGCGGTTCGATTCCCAACCCAGTAGCTTGAAACTCACTGGGCATGTGTGCATGCCTGTCCAAAACCTCAAGAGGAGAATGATGAAGGGACTGTAGAATGACCATCACCCCTGAGGGGGAACTTCGCATTTTCCCCTTTTCTGTCTCCAGCAAAGCATGTGCCCTATGACAAAAACTTAAAAAAAAAAAAAAAAAAACCAGTAAATAATCATTAAGGAAACCAGTCCATGAGGTCTTTTGTTATTTGCATAAAGCTTATAGTTTTGCCAGTTAAACTAATCATAAACGTTCATCTTCTGCTTTAGTGTTTTAGTTTTACCTGGTTCTATTTCATTAGGGATTCACTGCATAAATGTAAACATTGCTGAAAGGACACAGGTGGGGTTTTGTAAACAATTTTTGCCAGAGGGCATGTGAACTTGCCAGAGAGACAAAGAAAGAAAGAAAGCGCCCCTCATGGGGCCTGGTCACACCACAGTTTGGTCTCCATTTTCCCTCCTCTGGGGTTTGGGTATCCATGCACACGGGCCCAATGCGTTTCTCGAGCCTCCATGTCCGGGACTCAAACTGAGCAGTTAGCAATGTAGGATCCAGCCCACTTTAAGCACCACTCCACTGGCTGGCCTACATTTTCCCGAAAATATCTGTTTGAAGCATTTCATTGGATATCTATTAAATTGTGACATTTAGCTTTATGATTACATTGATGTTTGGAAAATTACCTAGTTCTAAAGCTGATTTTATTTTTTGTTAGTCTTATTTTTATTTGTTTAGTTACATGTAGACACATAGTTTTTTTTTCTTCTCTTGTTTTTTTTTGTAAATCTTTGTCAGGTTGGGGGAGGTCTCACTGTGGTCGTAGAAGCTTCCTTATCACCCTTTGTATAGAACATTCTCTGGGGAGAAAGAAGTAACTTGACAACACTTTGCTGTAAGGTTTAAATTAAGAAGCCCCTTCCCATATGACTCCTCTGATGGGTGATTGGATTGCTCCAAGAACATTCCTCTAAGTATAGCATTTTGCCGTTTTTTTCCTTTGGGGGAATACTTGGTGCATACCTTTATTACTGCTTTTGGTAATGGAGCTGAGAGGCCTGGACACTGGGATTAGCACCACAATTTCTCCTTTCCTTGTGTCTTCCCCAGCATCTTACTTAGCAGCTCCAGCCCTGCTGTGACACCCCAGAATGTATCATTTTGAAATGTCGCAGCTGCCACTAAGTCATATGGGAGCAGAGCTGTCTGAGAGAGAGGTACAGGTCAGTGATGGTTTCTTGTTCCCGCATGGATCTTTAGAAAAACTGAAAGCAACATTTTATTTTCTGTCAAAGATTTATTTCTTACAGTTTTCAAAAACATGAGCAAATGAGTGAATGAAATTATCTTTTGAGTAGAGGCTATGATTTCTAATTTAGGTGGTGTGGGCGTAGGTGGCGAGGGGTAAACTTCTAGGCAGGATGGGTGGGGAGGAGGCTGGATGGATGTGTTAAATACTATTTGTCTGAGGGTCAGCTCTCCCTTTTGGGTTGGTGCTCTCAACCTTCATGCACTGAACAGTTCTTTACCTTAAATTCAGCATGGTGGGTCACCTTTAAAATAGGGCTCTTCATAAATTACTTCATGCATAATAACCGTTTATGACTCTTAATTGGGGGTAGCAGAGCAGTGGGTAATTGTTACATACCATATGTCTTATAGCACAGCAGGGCAAGGTAAAAGAAAACATGAATCTTGATACTGGAAGTCTCATCTCATCAAGATAAGCTTTGCCCATGGTATTATTGCTAACATTTTTTCTTATGTAAATACTTTCTAGCAAGAAAAAAATAGAGTTGACAGTGTTTACATTTTGATCCGTTTTTTTCTTAAGTTGCTAGAGGAAACGCTTATAATTTTGTTTGTTTTGAAAATGCAATTCCTGTAGAAAGGTCATTGCAATGTCAACCCCTGTCATTTCTAACCCTCTTATCCCAGAGCTCATCTGCAGCATGTCAGGTCTGGCTTACTGCTCTAACCATAAAAGGCAAAGAATGTGTAAGCCCTGTTCCCTTCAGCAAATTGTCTTAGTGCTCTGTGATGGCTTGAGTTCATAGTGTTAGCTGGATCCACAGGAAGTGAGGGGTATTACAGACACATTTTCTCTTGCAAGTTTGGAAAGTCTGTGAAACAAGATTCCAAAGCCTTACCAGAAGCCTAAAATCCTAGGCATTGTCTCAGAAGTATATGTTGGATTTTACCTTCTACATGGTAAACATTTCTAAGTATTCAGTCAGAGAAACTCGGGCAGTTTGTAACAGGTACATGTCGCTCCCTCCACTTCCCTCCTGAGGATCCTGCAACAGGGCAGCAGCAAGTCACATATGACTGACTCTTGCTGACTTCGTGGCTCCCCCACAGTCCCTCTGGGGTGACATGAGGTTCACTGCAGTAGGTGTTTGCAGATGAGTGAAAGGTTTGGGTCAGCCCCTCGTCTCTAGTATTAATTATGCATAAGCAGCAGCAGAAAAGCTATAGGACCACTTGGGTTTGCCTCGTCTTCTCCTTCAGATTGGTTGTGGAAGAAAGGCAAATTCTAGTCTGAAGACTAGCTTGCAGGAAAGCTAATGGTTGAGCTGAAGCAGCTGGTGAGGATAGAGCCTGATGGGCAAGAGCAGGACAGCAGTGTCATCGTGCTGGTGTAAGCGTGGCAGGTCCTGCTCTCACAAATTCCTGCACTGGGTAGGGTATCTGGAGTATGAAGTAAAGGCTCAGACCTGTAATACACCCAAGTATAGGGTGTTTGAAACACGGAGCACATGACCACCTTGCCACATCATTCTCTACCTGAATGGTACTTGGTGTACTAAAGAGTGTGAGATGCAGCACACTTAAGTGAACCAGAAGAATCTGGGTCTCATCACACTGAAGTTGGTTTTAGTGGGATTCTCAAGATGCCTGGATTTCCTCTTGAGAGCAGTTGTTGTTGAGGGCATGGTTCGGAACCTTGTAGCAACAGAGCTTATGAATTTTGAGAGAAGAGATTCTTGGATTTCCTTGAGCTCTCTTCCTGTGCAGAACCTGGGAAGGTAGCTAGCTAGTGTAGCTAGTGAAGGAGTTTAAGCAAGGGATGAATCAGAGGCAGATGGAGACAGTTGTATTTGGGGGCGGCGGGGGTTCTTTGGACTCACTCTTAGTTGTTTTTTTTTTTTTTTTTTTTTTTTCCCTGGCCACATGCACAAGAGACTTTTTTTGCAATAGTGAAGGAGTTTAAGCAAGGGATGAATCAGAGGCAGATGGAGACAGTTGTATTTGGGGGCGGCGGGGGTTCTTTGGACTCACTCTTAGTTGTTTTTTTTTTTTTTTTTTTTTGTCCATGGCAACATGTACAGATGACTTTATTTGGAAAGCCTGAGGCTATTTACAAAAAGCAGAAGGGAGGATTTGAGATCGCAGAGTAGTTACTACAGAGTCTGCTCAGGGTACTATGAAATCATTGTAGCCTCAGTTTGATCTCATTAGAACTGGCCACGACTTCCTGCTCATCTCTCAGGACATTAGCTAAGCAGGTATATGCTAAAACAGTTTTAAATTCAACCTCTGCCTGTGTTAGGATATTCAGAACAAACACCCAGTCACCCTTGCTGGTGTAGTTAATCCTTTGGCCTCTTTTTTGGTTTGTTTTTTGTTTTTGCTTTATTTTAAGCCACTCTTGATGTGTTTTTATCTTTTCCATTGGCGCCTCCTACCCCTCATCTTTCCTCTTAGTGATACCTTCTCTCAGACTCATGACACCCAGTGGAGGTGTGAATAGGGTTCATCAGCTTTCAGAGTGGCCTGAAGAGAGGACTTTTTCATAGAACACATTTTCTAATTAAATGAAGCATCTTTGGTCATGTCTAGAATACAGTATCAGCCTCAGCATGATGGGATCCCTACCTCCAACCCCTCCAAACAAGAACAAATGGAATTTTTAAAAAAATGTCCTGAGGTGGTATCTAATTGGATCAACCACCTTCCTTTCCCTTTAATCTGGATGAACTTGCTAAGTTCGTCTGTTAGTCACCCAAGAGTGAGAGGAGCCTTGGCTTCTGCCCCACTTAGTTCACGGGGGACTCGGTGGTTTTCAAACTGCTCTTGGACTCTGAAGTGCTCCATAGTTGCCAAGAGTGGATGACTCCAAGTGGAGGTGGTTTTATCTGTCAGCTTTGGTCAAAGAATTTGGAAAGGGGGTAGGGGTAATTATTCTGTAACTATTTAATCCTTTTTGAGCCTTGCATTCAGAAGTTGATTAAATGAATCCATGTCCAGAAATAGAGAAGTCAGTCTTCATGCTTTAGGTTAGTATCTCTTGGAGTATATCCAACCAAAGAAGAAACATGTTTGTGGGAAAAGAGGCAGAGAACCTTGGCATCTCAGATGTGAAGTTTTCAGGAATTTCAAGAATGTGAAAGGTGACCGCTGTCTAAAGTTTAGCATGAGCTTTCTTAGGCAGCACATACTCTAAAATTGGAATGATACAGAGAAGGTTTACATGACCCCTCTGCAAGGATGGTACACAAATTCACGAAACAGTCTGTATTTTTACACAGGGAACTCAAACAGCTTACCCACAAAAAGTAGTCAATACAATTAAAAAATGGGAAAATGAGCTGAACAGACAGTTCTCCCAGCAAGACATACAAACAGCCCGAAGCATATTAAAACATGCTCAGCATCTCTTTTCATAAGGGAAATGCAAATCAAAACCAGTGAGACGTCACTTAACTCCAGTCAGAATGGCTAAAATTTAAAAAATGAATAATGATAATTGCTGACGAGGCTTTGGTGAAAAGGGAACTCTGCTACACTGCTGGGGGGGAATGTAGATTAGTACTATTGTGGAGAATGGTATGGAGATTCCTTAGAAACCTACAAATAGAGCTGCCATACAACCCAGTAATTCCACTTTTAGGTGTTTAACCAAAGGATGGAAAAACCCTCATTCAGAAAAACACTTGCACATCCATGTTTATTGCAACATTATTTACAATCACTAGGACATGGGATCAACCTTGTTGTCTAAAAATAGATGATTGAATTGAAAAAATGTGGCATATTTATTCTATGGAATATTACTCAGCCATGAAAAATTGAAACTCTGACATTTGATACAAAACAAACGAATATGGAAGACTTAATGCTAAGCAAAGCAAGTCAGACGATGAAAGACAGACTTTGCATGTCCTCACTCAATATGTACTGATAGTTTGCGCTCTGTAGCAGAAACTAAAAGTTTGGAAGGCGTAGTTGCAGGGAGGGCAACAGCAGAGATGGTAAGCATGGGTAATATGGGGGTGGGTAGGAAAGGAAGTGAGGGGAATGGCAAGAAAAACTGAGAAAAAAGTACTTTTTTTAAAATTTATTTTTTTAGAGTTTTTTGGCTGTAGGGCGCGTGTGCTCACCGGACAGACAGAGAGAGACAGAGAGACAGAAAGCGAGAAATCACCCCCCAGGGAGGATGGCCACGCTACAATCCCTTCTCCTCCATTCTCCTCTCGGGATCTTGGGCACGCACGCACACGCGCCCAGCGTGAGTTTTAAGCCACTGGGTTCGGGACATGAACCGCGGTCGACTCTGTGGGAGTCCAGCAACATAGCCATTACGCTAACTGCTGGTTCCGAGAAAAAGTACTTTTAATTGACCGGAAAAATGAAAAGCTATTTACTGATGATGATGATGTGTATAGCAATGTCTTTGTCTTAACTGATATGCATGATATTCGTGCTGGAAAAAGAAACGTATGCTATAAAGATATATGTGATTAAATGTAAAATAATAATAATAAATGAATAAAAAGTTTTTAAAAGTGTAAAAAAAAATAAAGTTTAGGACGCCAGACAGTTACTGAATGTGGTGTACTTACGCCCAATATTGTGGCTTCGTTCAGCAAATGTGCTAGACACTGACTGCGTGCTGGGCACTGTAGGGAATGGTGGGTGCTGGTGACACAGATGGGGCTGGGCTTAGCCTCGTGGAGTTTACCAGTCAAATGGGGGAGCATGTTTACAATTTACATATGTCATTGTTCAGTTTTTAGTTGTAATAGGTCTACAAAGGAAAGAAATATGACTGCAAGAGATCTTCCTTTCTGTCCCTTTTTTCTTGGTGGTCGTGTGAGATGTTCTCATTGCAGGTGGGCCGTTGTCTGCAGTAACATGGGGTGTTGAGCCTGCTTGGCCATCTACCCTACCCTCTTCTCCCACTCTGTGCCTGTACTTTTGTCTTCACAACTTGAACTAAGTATGCTTTAGTGAACCTGTTTCCTGCCATAACTTTCTTCCAAGCAGTTCCTGAGCTTTCATCCTCAAAACTGCCTCCCCAGGTGTGCATGAGGTATCTGGCATCAAGGAGTTTAGAACTTGAAGGAAAATCTCATACCTCACTTCCAGATAAGGGAGGGAGGGAATATGTGCATGGACACACCAGTTAGAGGCAGAGCCAGAGCTAAACACAAGCCTTTCGGTCTCAGCTCAGGACTTCCTGTTACTCTTCCTGCAGGAAAGGCTTTACTCAGCAAGGCTTATCCTTGCAGAACTGCAGAGAGGAAGAGAGATAAGCCCCACGGGGTCATAAATCATAGGCTTAACATGCCCAGGTTTGTTTTCCCT